TTCCTCTCTGGCGCGCGCGAGCGCGATCGCTTAGCGATGGAATCGAGCGAGAATCGCGCGAACTTTCTTTTTATTACGAAAAAAAAAATTTTAACTTTTTTTTTATTAAAAAAGAAAAGAAACTTAGAGTCCCCAAAAGGAATCCGGGCCATTAAGTGGACGTTCGGTTCTTTTGGAACGCCCTGTATATACCGTAAAGGTATCGAATCGATCGTATTAATGAGTATATATACGCCGTGTGTACAATGTATGTATACATTCATCTTAATCCCGTCGCTACCTATCTCGCTACTATCGAAACTACCCGGCCTGTCGCTCCTTCTCCATTTTCCTACGCACTCTCACTCCGCCCGTCTCGCTCCATTCCTGCGTCACAATGACTTTCTCGCTCCTTTCCGTTAACCGCCTATATCCGGTGGGACGCGGGGCGATACGGCGTTCGTATCGCGAACGCGACATTACTAAGGCCCTGCGCACAATAGAGAAAATATTAGGAATAGGAATAAAATATTAAATATCAGGAGGAGCAATTTGGAATTATTTTATTACTTCAAACAAGGAAAAGGAATGGATTAATTATTTCTATTTTTAATTATTTTTTTTATTTCATTATGCGTTAATCCATTCCGTTCCCTCGTTTGAAGTAAAATAATTCCAAATTGCTCCTCCTGATATTTAATATTTTATTCCTATTCCTAATATTTTCTCTATTGTGCGCAGGGCCTAAGAAGCACGTAATATATCTCGAATTTTCTTTCAAACGAGGAAATTATTCGTTTTGTTCCATTGTTTAACTGTTGACAATTATAATATATATAATTTTCGGCAAACATATCGATATTCGTTACATTACACCAAAATTTTGATATTACACATAGGACGTTTCATTCCCATCGCTTTTCCTTCTCCTTCAACCTCTGGTCTGTTTTTCCTCTTGATGACGAAATCGTATACGGAACGTACGGATCCGTGTAACGAGCTCAGCTTCGATGCGTATGTCCGGGCACGCACGGGCCGCTATGGAGACACTCGCTTCAACCTAGACCTCACTCTTCAGACCTCGATCCACTCCGCTTGTTATTGCGAATTCGCCGTTTTATGAGGCGAGCGATCTCTGTGCGCGCGTTACGAGTCCAGTCCCGAGAATCATTAATCTTCGCGCCGTAAATGAAGCGTTTTCACGCTTTAATACAAAGCGATCACAGTCCTCGCCGCTTAGGAAATTTACTTTTTGCTCCATTGAGTCAGACTTCGGTTGAGAGACAAACACGTGAATGTGTTTGTCGAATCGTGACTAGTCGTTTTCGTTGATGTGGCGTTTTTTATCTTTCGGGTTCTATATTTCATTCTCACGAGAGTTTTCGACGCGCGCGAGGGACTGTCGTTAACTGAATAATTTATTGAATATTTGTTAATTGCTTCAAAGTAATAAAGATAGAAACGAGAAGAAGCAATAAAATCTAAAAACTAAAAAACTATTTAGCATGTAAGATATCGAAATTTTCTCGAAATGTTTTTTTTTTTTTTTTAAGAATTTAGATTAATTCGTATGCTACTGAATAAAAATGTAATTATTCCACCAAGACTCCCTCTTTTTAACGTAAAATCGAGACTGAAAGGATTTTCGAAACTAAAAGGTGATAGCATGTAGAAAGCGCGTTTTATGGGCGTCTCTACATCGACGTAATAATTATGGTGAGAAAAGTTTATTGCGAAACTTTAACTGGCATAGCGCGTTTATCACGCAGTAATATACACGTGAATGTGTTTGTCGAATCGTGACTAGTCGTTTTCGTTGATGTGGCGTTTTTTATCTTTCGGGTTCTATATTTCATTCTCACGAGAGTTTTCGACGCGCGCGAGGGACCGTCGTTAACTGAATAATTTATTGAATATTTGTTAATTGCTTCAAAGTAATAAAGATAGAAACGAGAAGAAGCAATAAAATCTAAAAACTAAAAAACTATTTAGCATGTAAGATATCGAAATTTTCTCGAAATGTTTTTTTTTTTTTTTAAGAATTTAGATTAATTCGTATGCTACTGAATAAAAATGTAATTATTCCACCAAGACTCCCTCTTTTTAACGTAAAATCGAGACTGAAAGGATTTTCGAAACTAAAAGGTGATAGCATGTAGAAAGCGCGTTTTATGGGCGTCTCTACATCGACGTGTATTAATTATGGTGAGAAAAGTTTATTGCGAAACTTTAACTGGCATAGCGCGTTTATCACGCAGTAATATTTATTTCCAGCAGCAGCGGTGGCGTCTCGATTTAATGGGATATTAAGAAGAATTATGCGATAACACACGACGTATCCTTTCGCAGATACTCGAATACCGGAATACATTTAGCGTTTATTGCACAAAAACACAAGCGCTAGCAAGCAGGCGTTATAAATCAGACGCACGTGTGCATTTCGATTTGCCTAAACGATTAATATCTCGTCGATCGATACGATTTTTAGCGGCAAAATACGATTATCTCATAACTTATCTTTGCCGTTAATAGCGCCTACCGATCATTTCGTTCAAATGCAATAAATTAATTTGAATTAAGAGCGAAGTATAACGTTTATAAGAGACGCTGTATCGCGAGCTGACGGAATTCTTTTACTGCTGTTGCAGATACTGGAAGCCCAGCATCCGCAGATGCAGCCAGCATCATGGATTCCCACGTCGGACTCGACTACATCGTGGATAATCCTGATTATTGCGTCAAGCTCGCCTCAGGTAAATTATTAACAGCGTTTCCGATGCCATAATCCCGCGTATTGCGTATTAAACGTCTCGGATTGCAGCGCTGGAAACGGCGTGTCCGTCCGTGAAGAAGCGAGTCGTGGAGCTACTGTCGGCGCTGTGCGTTTATAGTCAGGATGGCAGGCAGAGAGCCATCGACACCCTTCACATATATCAGGTGACTATAATCCTGAGGTGAAATCGTATTCGCGGAGGTGCAATTTTCGTTTATTCCTCTCTCGTATCGTACTCTCTCAAACTGGATCAGTCGCTCATCAAAACAGTGATACTAGATCATTGAATATTTTACTGATCTGCAGTAAAAACTTTGCTGCTTCATCTTATGTGATTATGGCAGCATATTATATATATTTGCAAGATAATAATAAATTTAGAGTATTTCTTTTTTTATTTATTTTAGATTAATATTTTTTGTGGAGGGAAGCCTCTATACAAACATATCTAGAATGAAACGTGTAAAACTAGCATTTAGAAATTCATAATTACATATATATTATTATACTTTTTACTCTTAAGATGAATCCACAAAAAATGAGCAAGACTTGGTCAGAGATATTTCTTTAATAAAATATATTGCTCTATAAATTTATCTCATATATAATATTATAATACAAGACACATTTTCAAATGTCACTGATGATTGAAATAGCCACTGATTTGTAGTGTAATATTTTCTAACCGAAACCATCAGTGATTATTCACTGTTCTCTCGTGATAATATACTGATTCCATTTGAGAGAATGCGGTTTGTCGGCCGTTTGCCCGAACGATGAAGACATTCCCATTCGGAACGATCATCCTGAATACTCTCGCGACAAATTATACAGCATCGAAGCACGGAGCATTGTACCTGCTCGTTGTAAAATAGCCCGAGGAGCGTTGAGCTTAGGTAAAAGTCACGCGGTTCAAGGTCTTCCCCCTTCAATGAACAAAAGAAAGAACGCTGTAATATTAACTCCGTGCACACAAGTAAGAGTGAGTTGCCGTAATGTGTTCCCATTGTGTTAACCATCACGAACTCACCGCGTTGCGAAATTTATTTTTATTGCCGTGCAATTTGCATGTACATTCAAGAAACGAACGCGGATGACAGATTATCAGTCGTTCCTCTTTCATCATATCGCGTATAGTGTCGTAAAAAAAGGGGGGTTCGAGATTCGTACAGAGCTGAATAAATCGCGTTTGATCGATATAAATGGATCTATGTTGGAGCTGTGGAGACAATTTTTGATTTTGATAAGGGTTCTAATTATAGCGCAGGAGTAGTCTTTCGAAAGGTTGATGAAAAAAAAAAAAAAAAAAAAGGGGAGCTTGATCGCGAGAACGTTGACCGACGTCTTTGTTCCCGCGGCGGAGTATCCCGAGACGATGTTTCCCGGAATAGACGAGCGACGATAACGGGCGATCTTGTATTAAGATTTATATATTCGGATGCATATAGGAACGGAAGGGCGAGCGTTATCGATTGCGAGTCGTGGTCGACGAGCTGCAGAAAGCGACGGCGGAGGATTACCAGACGTCATTGCTGGCGTTTATAAATTGTTTGGTCATCTCGACGCCGGTGCTCAAGGATCGCATACGTATTCGTAACGAGTTTATCGGTGAGTGAAAGAAATCGAGACGTCTCGGCGAATGCCAGCTTCCTCAACTCTGCTCGACATAATCGCGCATCTTCTCAATAATTCTAGAGGAGATCCGAGGATTAAAATAGGATATCCTCAGGATATCCTACATGTATGTCCTGGATGCCCTTTGGACGTCCTAAGGACATCCTTGTGCTGTCTGGGAATGAAACGACACAGAATTTATTATCTCTCTTGTCTCTCTTCCTTTTCGATTTGTTTTTTTTTTTTTTTTGCGTTTAAGATGGATTTATAAGAAATAAATATTTAGAATTCGCGTTTTTACATCGTTATAGACGATTTTAATGCGCGATTTCCGTTGCAGGTCTCAAGCTCTTGCCGATCCTGAACGAGCTGCGGTGAGTACACTACGACGACTATCCAGATTCGCGGTATTTACTAATTAATTAACACTAATTAATTTAACATTGTGGAATAATAAATAATAATGAATGTGTTGAACGAAAGGAGACGCTTTATTGTACCCACACCATCTTCTTCGCACGCCGCTTAATGTTACGCGCACTCCGTGTAATTAGAGATAATTACACCAAGGATTCATGGTTCACTAACGAGGGAGGATGTCGTTGTGACGGTACCGAGTTTGAATACCGAGACACATTTGCATGCAATAATCCGAATAATATGTTCTAATAAATAAAAACAAACCGCGAATAATTTAATTTCTTGTTATATAAGTATTCCTTGAACGGCTAAAATTCATAGGTTTGAATTTGCGCACGAAAATAGAACATTATCTGTACTGTCTTATACAGAGTGTCCCAAAACTATCGGATGTAGATTATACTTTTAAGAGTAGATTATCTGGTCAATTTGATAAGGGAAATTATGTCTTCAAATAGACCATAAAATTCTTTCTTGAAAGAACATTTGATGGTTTTGGAATACTTTGTATATACGCAATTAATTTTACTAATTTTTATTTAGATAAAATAATATAATCGTTATTTCAAATTAAATCTTTTTTTTTTTAAGCGACATTTTTGATCGCATCTCTCAAGGCGATAATGTTAAACGTTTCGCGATTGTGTCGTGTATTTATCCGCTTATCAGTACACATATTGTTGAGCAAACAGTCGCTACTATTATGCTAAAAGTACACATTTGTGTACGTACAAGGCAATCATACGATATCGATCGTTCGCTTCACCATGCGAAGGATAAAATCAAATCTACAGAAAAATAAACTCGATAATATATCTCCGCACGATCAGTGCCTCTTTCTTGAAGAAATCGCTTTTGTTACGACAGTTTTTCGTATTCAAAGGGTCGAAGAAAAATATACTCATTGAATTAATTCAGCGCGTATAGGAAGACGCAATATCGAAGAGATGATGCTTTCATCGGCGGCGCCAATGAGCGAGAAATAGAATCCAGGCAATTCATGTTCCTTCTCTCTCGCTTTCTCTCTCTCTCTCTTTTCTCTCCACACCCTCTCTTTCTCTCTGTCTTCCTCTCTTTCTCTTTTTAAATAAGGGGAGATAATCTTAATTATAATGAATGGTTTAATTGATAAAATAAATAATAATGAAATTTATGTAAGTAATATAAAATATGTGTATATATGTAAATATTTGAATGAATAGGAAGAGGAGGAAGGAGATCGACGAAACGGGAAAAGGGGGAGAAATAAAAAAAGGGCTGCGAAGGGAGAGGGGGGTCGAGAGAGGACCGAATTAACTCCTCACCGACACCCCGATGCACCTGCGACCGCGTCGCCGCTCCAGCGCGATGCAGCGACGCGTAGCGTCGCCAGAAATGCATCCGCCGTCGCGACGATGCACCGGCCGGCCGGCGTCCTCCGCGTTGCATCCTCCGAATCCGTCTCGACGAGATCCGCGTGATCGAACGCCGCCGTTTATCATCCGCGTCCCGTATACGTCGTCATCTCTCTCTTCTTCATCTCTGCGTCGATGCGTTTAACGTCCATCAGCGGTAAGGAAGAAGAAAGAGAAGAGAAACGTCATTGTTCTCGATCGGCCAACGCGTCGCATAATATTTCTCGCGGTTGCACCAGACAATTGTCGTAAAGAATGTTAATTATCCTCGACGCATCATTGATGAATCGCGTCGCAATTCTGCTTCTTCGTTCGTTGTTTTTCTTGAAACCGAGATTTCTATGGTAGCAATTTTCGAGAGAAAAAAACGGAGAAAAAATTCCGCTCCAAATCGGTGTTGATTTTCGCAATTGGATGTACTCTGTCGGAATGTAAAATATTTTTATTTTGTGTACACATTTAGATATATTTTACTGCACGAGGCGCGTGAAAATCTCAAGTATTTTAAGAAGAGACGCGTCTCGGAGAATTCCTTCCGTTTTCTTTTTATTCTTCCACGCTTAACAACGCCGGCATTGCTTTCCGTGAGTCACGGCCGTGCTCTCGGCGTTCGCAGTCGTGTTCCTCTTTATCCGCTTCTGTTTTGCTCGTGGCGAAGATCGATGGCAGGATTGGACCGTCGCGGCGAGTATTTTGGTATACGCTCTATCTCGGTAGGACACGCGCTGGAAGTCTCCCAGACCGTTCTGGATGCTCGACTTATCTCTCCGTTTGAATCTTAATTGCGTCTGTCTTCCCAGTCATCTCGGTGCTCTTCAACTTTAATCACTAATTTACCGTACGCGCATGTTTCGCGTTGTTTCATCTACCGAGACCGACAAACTTTTCATTTTTTTTTTTTTTTTTCTAAAGTATTAATGCGTATAAACGTATTTATTTTTATTTCATTATAAATGTATCTGCAAATAAAAGTTGTCGCGAGTGGATCTTTATTTTAAAATTCAACACGCACGCATCTGGCGCTTTGTATATTCCGATCTATTTATTGGATCCGAGGATCTCTTGATGTGCCGAGATCTCGCGCGCTTCGACGAAACCGTCGACTATTTCCGTGCGCTTTGAGATGGCAAAATCGTCCACAGAACGCGTCTAAACTATTCGAACGCTTCGCGACTCGCAGAGGGATTCTCTATAGATTTGTGATTTGTGATCTCTTCTGACAATGAGATGTGACAGTGCTTTTTCCACCTATAAAATCTGACGCTTATATGATATTTTTATCGCGGCAACTTATCGACTTGTTTTGGCAGAGTAAATACTTAAAAACTTTGTCTAAAATTTCCAAATCTCCTTATAAACATTAAATTTGAATACTTATTAACGCGCGTGGAAGCATGAAAATGTTTCTCGAAAAGGAGGAAGAGAAAATTTACGGAAATAGAAACCGAATCTCTAAAGAAAGCTCGCGGTCGAGCGTGCCGGAAATAGAGCGGACAACGTGTGTTGTCGGCTTGAAATATCCTCGGATCAGGAAAGTGGCGATTGTTCTTGCAGGAAGAGCCACGCGCCGGACGTGAGGGTGCAGCTGAACGCCTTCGAAGATCAACGGGAGACGGACGAGGAGCTCGCCAATCACGGACCGCCCGGGATCGATCTCTCCTCTCACGTGGACGTCTTTTACGCCATCCTCGGCCAAGTGAGCGACTTTCGGCATTCTTAATACACTTCCCCACGTCTACCACTATTTTTAACAAGTTTTTTCTTCGACGAATCTTTGCGAAAGATTTCGATTTTTGAACAATTTTTATTTCGAAATCTTGAAAGTGACGTAAATCGCGCGCAATTTATACTTCCTGTCTGTCTCATTAAAATATGGGCATCGTGTCAAATTGTTAATTATTCGTAATTATAAATTTCCAATCGATCAATCGCCAGCTAAAAGTTCGAAGCGCCGATCGAGACTGCTAGCGAGCGTCGTTAAGTGAGACGTCTGACAAAACGCAGTATACTCTCAGGTTGCAGACACTCCGCAGGAGATACCCTTTCTGAGTGTCCTGCAGCATCTGTTGCGATTGGATCCGAAAGACGCCGCCAGTGATCTGGCGTGGGACACCGCCGAAACCCTGGTGCATCGAGCCACGTTGCTTGAGAGTCGCGAGGATGCCACCAAATTGCTGAGATCGCCCAGTCTTCAAGTGAGTTCTTCGTGTTTCATTTATGTTTCGTTTCGCGGAAATAAATAAAAATAAATTGAAATCGAAAAACCCGCGAAGAAAGCGTCGCGTCGTTTCGCTTACGCAATTTTTGTTGTCTTCTCTTCTCTAATCTCGCTCCTGGACATTATTAGACAGGAACGATCGCGTGGTTTCCTTTCACGTAAAAGTCGCGATGACAAATATATTGATTCTATCCGTTACGTGACTTTCGCCGATTACGCAATCGTGAAGAGATCCCCGGTGTGGCGTCTCTACGTTACATCAGATCGTTTAAATTTCGCGATCATCTCGCGGGTACCGTCATCAATGTCAACCGCGCTAACGCGAACTAATATAACGCAACGCGTATGTGTGTGTGAGATACTCGTCGTGTACTTTTACTTTCTGACCGTACTTGACCGAAAGACGCGAGTCCATAAAAGAAGAAACTCGTACCACGCCTCATGTCGATGAATCACGAAGCGTGCATTCGCGTACGTAAATGCGTTTCTTCCGTAAAGATTTTGCAAAAAATAAGATTTGCTATAAAATTTCATTTGCGAAATTTCTCGTCAACCCTTTTACAAATAGCAATTCAATTAGAATACAATAATTAATTGTACACAACAGATATATTCTCACCGTATGAGAGAGAGATGTTATGCATCCTGTTCTTGCACGAAAACATAATCTCTTAAAAAATATATTATCTATAAATAAAGATAAATACAAAATATAACCAACGATTGATATCTACACCGGTTTGAATCGACATTTTTCTTCTATTTTCAAGCTTAATGTTCAATCTACTTTAATATTTTAGGTAATTAAATTAGCCTTTTTATTTAATTTATAGTTTTGTTAAAAGCTCCTCTTCTGAATCTCTAACTGAGAAACTGTTCAGTTACTGCCTATCTATGATACAAAGTATTAGAAGCTTAAAAAAAATTCATTATAATGTATATAAAATATCAATTAATAAATATATAA